AAATGCTCTTTTGGCAATCCTTTTTTATAATAATATACATTTTCCTCCCCAGAGAAACGTATATTATCAAGTAAGCCTAGTTGATTGGTGAACCTTTCAGTGTATTTGTGGATTGATACATCACTCTTGTTCATGTGAAGGTTTTCCTTTACTCTTTTTTCTATATAACTATGCATGGGTTTCTTCCTGAAGAACCTCGTGTCTGCTTATTCTTCCTGACAGGATGCTACAAGACAACAAGATTCTTACTAACTTCAAAACATTTAATCACTTACTTAATTTTCAACTTCACAAAGTGAACGATCTATTTGATTGTGCGTACTTAACTTATATTACAATATTGTAATTATCTATCAAGTCATCAGCAAATACATACATTTATAAAGAAAGTTCTCATCACTTCTATTTTAGGTATATTAGTCCAAATAACTCGGTCATTTGCATAATCCCTCACATCCTATCTCCTATAATTTAAGCCTAGGAAGGTTAATCCTTGCCTAATTCGCTTAAACCACAAACTCTAATACCAAAATGTAACACCTTACTTTTGAAACCTAATATATACTAATAAATTATTGTTTTACAAAAACTTTCATATTTATTATTAGAGTTTACAGCTTTTAGTGTTACAAATAAATACCAACCACCATAATAAAAGATAAAATATTCTACAACTCGTTAACTTAATTTGATACACGATTGAAAACTTTTATGAGAATCTAATAAGTCATGAACATTCTAAACATTAGTATATGAGGTACTAACGTATACATAGTGCCTTTGGTTATAATCGAATCTGGCTTTGCCCTCCGACAAGCTTTTGAATCTGGCTCTAGCCTCCTATTATAATAATCTAGCTAATCATACCGACTCTAAACATGGGAATTCTTATCTAATACTAGCACAAATCAGCACATAACTAGCTTCAAATAATATAATTCACACATCTGGGGAGTTCATATCCCTAGCCAGCGCAAATCCAACTCCTTATAAACCGTCAGAGAAAGAATCTTTTTGAGGCTATTATCTTATTAGGCAAGTCAAACTGCTATCTATAAGAAGTACCATTCTGACTGTTGTTGCCACTTCCCCTTATGGGGCCTGTAGTTGAGTTATATTTTAGGGACTTGTGACCATAACCTGGCATGAGGCTCATATAATATTCATGATCCATTTCATAGTACTCGCTTGTGGAGTACAAAATATCGTTAATCGCATAGAAGTCATTTTATGTCTTTCCACACATAGCTTTTTATAAAGCTTCTAACCTATATTCACATATAGGCTTATGCCAATAGCTTCCCATAAAGCTCTTAACACTTGTAGAGTTTAACTACGATCATAGTAGTCACCCTTCGAGTATAATTAACAAGTTCTTGGTAATCATTTGTTACCAAACTCAACAAGTTCCATAAAGAACTTCCAAACGGCTTAACCTCGCAATCCGTTAGCTCAAATACTCATTTCTAATCATCTCCTAAATTAGGGTTTCCCTTGCTAACCGGACTAAGAATTCCATCAAGGAATTCAACCGTCAAACTTACCATCGAGTTCATAATAACACCTTATTATGAACTTTACTAACCATCTAAAATAAAAACTACCTTATCGTGTTTTGTAATGTATCCTCATAATCAACGTCGTTACGCACTTCCTTTAGCTACGAGTCGTCGCTTGAGAATCCAGAGTTCTGGTTGGGAAACGTATCACCGGAAAATTTCAACTATTTATAGCTTTCTATGACACGTACCGTGTCACAAAAGTGGACGCGGGACAGGTCGCTTCCACATGCCACACCACAAGCTTGCTTTGTATCTACTCCTTGCCACCCATCCATGCATTTGCGTCACGTTTGTCTCTACACCATTTTCCTTTTACTTCTTGATATAATGAAGTAGCAAATTTCTGGTTGTTACAATCTTTAATATCCATATATTACCTTGAAATTCGAATTTCCCACTAAAATTCACTAGAAATTCCACTATGTCCACCCTTCGTTTAACACCAGCTTCTTCAACCGTCGTTTTTTATTCAAGTAAATTAAATCCCTCTTTTTTGGAAATTTAGTTATAACTTAATGCATGTAATGAATTGATTATGTACCCGATATGCCTGAATAAATTATATAACTTTTGCATTGTATAATGACATTATATCTATCATGAAAGTCCTTTGTGTACAAGTTCTCTTAAATTAAAGGTATAACATTTTAGATTTAGCTTTTTGTGGTTTGAAAGAAGCTCTTGTACTTTGGAATATGATGAATTTCATGCCATTTTTTTATCCTAAAGTTATGTATAATTGTGGTTTTAATCTGTTACACCAAATTTTATGGTTTGGTGTTCTAACGTTTTACTTCATTTCTATTTGATATTGTGCATACAGTATATTTATTTGTGTGTGAAATTAGTATATGATACGTTGAAGATAGATTTATTTTGATAATAACTCATCAACTTTGGTTCAAAGCAGGGTACTATAATGATAAGGGATGTACAACTATTTGTTGTAGTATGACAATTAGATTAACCATATAAGACCCTAAAAACACTATAGAACTATAGATAAATATTAATATCAAATTTCGGGGTGTGGGTATTCTTAAGAGAGTGTGTGTTCGCGTGTGTATATGTTTTGAATAGACATAGAAAGAGAAGTTGAGAGAGAGAGGCCCTATTTTTTTGTTTTATTAGTTACAAAACATTTAAAATGAATGGAAAAAGAATCAATAAGGGTAAAATAGTAATTTCACAAACACTTAACTAGTGATGAGCATATGGATCGGGGAACCGGAACCGGAACCCGATGGAACCGGTCGGGCCGGGACCAATACTATAATGTTGTCAATTTTTGGAACCAGAACCGGTAGAGCCGGCGGTCCGGTTCGGTTCTTGGTTTCGGCCGAAGCCGGTTCCCGGGTTGGGCCGGTTCCGGACGGTTCGGTTCGTTTAGTCATGCCTACATTTAACCCTTGTTAGCTGACGCCGTAGGGGTGAGCATTTGGACCGGTGGACCGGACCGTTTTTTTGGACCCTCGGGCCGGTTCTCGGTTCTAGGAATCCATCAAAACCGGTCCGGTTTTTTTCCCGGTCCGGTCCGGTTTTTACCGGGTTTAAAACCGGTTGGACCCGATTTAAAAAAAATTGTAATCTGTGAATTTTTTTAAACAACCATAACTCATTCGTTTTAAGTCGGATTGACACGCGGTTTTTTCCAACATTTAATTTACAATTTGTAGATGAATTTATAGTATAGTTTTATTGATTTTGGTATTATATTCAATGAGTTACAGTCTTTCGAAGTTGAGCTATCAAAGCTGGAAAATTTCAGCTTTTCAGCAACATTTTTTAAATTTTGTAATCTGTGAAAATTTTTAAACAACCATAACTCATTCGTTTTTAGTCGGATTGACACGCGGTTTTTTCCAACGTTTAATTTACAGTTTGTAGATGAACTTAGACTATAATTTTGTTGATTTTGGTATTATATTCAATGAGTTAAAGTCTTTCAAAGTTGAGCTATCAAAGCTGAAAATTTTCAGCTTTTCAGCAAGATTTTTAAAATTTTGTAATCTGTGAATTTATTTAAACAACCATAACTCATTCGTTTTAAGTCGGATTGACCTGCGGTTTTTTCCAATATTTAGTTTACAATTTGTAGATGAATTTAGACTATAATTTTGTTGATTTAGGTATTATATTCAGTGAGTTACAATTCTTCAAAGTTGAGCTATTAAAGCTGAAAAGTTTCAGCTTTTCAACAACATTTTTAAAATTTTATAATCTGTGAAAATTTTTAAACAACCTTAACTCATTTGTTTTAAGTCGGATTGACATGCGGTTTTTTCCAACGTTTAATTTACAGTTTTTAGATGAATTTAGACTATAATTATGTTGATTTTGGTATTATATTTAATAAGTTACAGTCTTGGTGAACTTGATTCATATGAAAGGGATCTTGGTGAACTTGATCTATACGTTAGTTGCTTTTATTTGGAAAATTAATTTTGCAAGTTATAATATTATAACATCAAGGTAGATTATTTATGCATGAAACGGAAATGTAATCATTTTTATTAGTTGTATCATATCAAACCCAACAATATATTTGTTTTAACGAGTTCTATCAAACCCAAAAACTTATTTTAACGAATTGTACTCTATGCAATTAAAGTTGTACCGGTCCAAACTGGTCGAAGAACCGGAAAATCCGGACCTGGACCCGGACCCGAATACGGACACGGACACGACTCATCCGGTCCGGTCCACGGTCCACAATATTCTCCATAACCGGTCCGGTCCAAGAGCCGGTCCGGTCCGATCCGGTTCGGTCCAAATGTTCACCCCTAGCTGACGGTGTTCATTAAAAGGACCCATGGTACGCATTTTAAACTTAAAAAGAACCAACCATATTCAAAATTCCTCACGGTATTTTCAGCCAACCAAAGGACCATTTATGTAATTTTGTCTTAAAAGATTGTACATTTCCCCTTTTAAAGGGGTGTTTCTGTAATTGAGGGAGGGCGGTGAGAAGAGGCTGGAACAGGAAAATTTTAGTTGGCCAAGGATAACATAGCACATTATGTCTTTTGATATATGTTTGTGGTGTATGTATTACTTTACCATGGTGTTAACTTGTCGTTTTTTATAATCTGCAAGACGTTCATGACTTTGCATGCATAATATAAGTAATTGTCACAACATTGTTAGAAAGAGAGAGAGGGGTGTGTGTGTGTGTGTGTGTGTGTGGGGGGGGGGGGGGGGGGGGGGGGGGGGGGTACATACAAATATAGTAACAAAGTTTGGGCTAAATTGGTGAAAAGACGAAACGGTAGTTAGTGTGAGCATATGAGGGTCCAAACCTACTAATTTAGTTTGAAATAGGGACAATTTATGCGTCAATCACAAACTTTGGACCAAAGGTTTTATATTGAAGAAACCTCTCGGACTAAACATGTAACTTACTTTTAATATTATAATTTTTAATAGTTTGTACTTTGTTGTAAAAAAAAACGTTGTGTTAGAAGCCAATAAATTTCTCGGGTAAGTATAGTAGTTACCAACCCTGAAACCATAATCGAAAAAAAAAAGCCCAATGCAAATCTTAGAGCCCATCTAAGATGGGCTACCAGATCTCAATTTTTTCTCCATTAATGAAAGGATTGCGTCCAGCTAAGTTACTGGTGTATTCAGGCACAATCCCCATATTCCAGAGTTTACAAATATAATAGTAATAACATTAGGCACATTAACTATCTTGGATGGGAACCAATTTCAGATTGCCTCCATAAATTTCTGGAATCTGGTTTTCATCAATGTCTTTCATCAATGTTGATTTCAGCTGCTTGTTTTCAACAAATACAATCTGCAAGATTAGTGTATATTCATTATTCAGTCATACTCTTGTGTCGATGTAGTCATATACCAAAAAGATGCTCTCAAGACATAAAAGAATTCTTACTTTTTTCTTTGTTTTTTCATCAATAAAGGGATAAACCATCTTCCATACAGTCATAAACACATAAGGGACATGTACTATAAACAGCTTCCCAAGCCTTTCTGGATAATAATCCTGTCATAAATACAACAGCTGTACATTATTGATATATATTGCCCACTTTAGGTAGCCATTAATGAGCGACATTGAAAGGTTGGTGAAGGTGCATTTTTGCGTGAACATGATTAAGTCATTCATTAAGTGTCTCTTCTAGAATATAATTAACAAAAATAATAAGGAATCAAAAACTATTATTTCTCTACACACAAAGATATATACCTGCAAAATAGAGAGTGCTGCAAGATATCCACGTATATCAGTACATGTATATCCCCATCCTTGAAGATCTCCGATAACAACGAACTTTTCTTGGCCTTGAGGTATCCTAAATTCATATTAAAGAATAAAGATATTGCTTAATGCTTAATGACATTTATAATAATTTAACCCTTAATTTGATGTGAAATTATACCTGGAACATAATTTGTCTAGGCCAAATACCACAAAACCTGCAGTTTCAATTGCGATTAATTGATGAAACTATGAAAAGATTTGATTTTGGATCATAAACATAAGTTTAAGAACATACGTTTGAACTCTTCTAGACCTCCTTTTTTGTTGCAGAAATGTCTACCTCCAAATACGACTGTTATTGGGCGTCCGTTTTTATCAGATCCTTGCATGAACATCTTGTTCTGTGCTATTTCGTTTTGGACTTCCGATACACAGATAGAACCTTCTGGAGTAAATGTTTTCCTCCATTTTAGGTATTTCAGAAACATGGCACATGCTTTGTCAATGTCAAGATCACGAGCACGAAGGAACCTTCTGATGGTCAGATCATCATACTCCTGGATTGCAATTGAAGTTATTTACATTTCATGCCACAAGTTTTTACAAAATCATTGATCTTGTATTCAAAGTTGAAGGCTTTTGACGTTCAGTTTTCGAACTCTATTCAACTTTTGACCAGTTAGGATGAAAGTTAATGATATAGAAGTAGTCAAAGTCATGGACTTTTCTCACAGGAAAGTTGGATCATGAGTCTTGTTGTTTAGTGATTATGGGGACTTTAACTATGCACCATGTGATGGAAGAATATATAATATTAATAATATAATAGATTACAACGAATCTTAAAAGTTAAAATTAATTTTATCTCGGGTCTAGATTTTGTCCTGATGCCATATTGCCTACCTTGAACAGTTTCATTAGGATCTTCAGAGAGAAAGTATGTGTGAGTGTTAGTGTGTGTGCGTTTGTGTGTGTGTGTGTGTGTGTGAGAGAGAGAGAGAGAGAGAGAGAGAGAGAGAGAGAGAGAGAGAGAGACCTTGGAAGTGGGATCATGTTTTTCAAGTAAGGCTCTCATTTGAAGAATTTTCCTGGGTTCATCTTGAAAGCTTCCGTTATCGTTGTGCATAGAAACACTCTCTGTTTCTGTGTAAATTTTGCATTCTCTTGGCTGATCCACCATTGTTGTCCCCTCCATCTGCTACAGTTTCTCTCTCTAGACCCTAAAAGTCGACACAAATCACTCTCTCTCTCTAGAAGGGGGTGGGGGTCTCTTGTATCTGTATGTGGATTTGTGTGGATGTGGGGTTTTAATTGATGTTAAATGTACATCGACTTAGAATCTTGATCACCTGCGGCCTGGTGTAACATAACAGTTTACAACAGACCCACAAAATGATAGCTGGCTGGGAAATTTTTTAGTCATGCTTCGAAAATTGAAGACAAATGAAAGGGGGTATGTAAGAAAATGAAGTAGTCAAAGGCTGCAGAATACGACTTTTCTCAAAATTAACTAATAAACCTAATGTGTTGAAATATTTACACACATTTTTTGACCTTTTCCTAGAAATATTTACTCAATCCGCCTATCTAGACTAATATTCTAGACATGGATTAATTCTAAACTTTTGTTTGTTCGCCAAAACCCTTAACAAAACGCGACATTTGAAGTCCGATATTTTCTTCCAAAACAAACTAATAAACTACGTATTGGAAAGGATTTGTTTTGCCATCAGCTATTCATTACTTGGTTGAAAGTAGGTGGCTAAAAATCGACATGTAAAATTGTTAATGGGGCCAAGAGGCGTGTATGGCTGTGCATATGAAATGCAATTAATTAAATAATTAATGGTACATTTGTTGAAGTCATTGTGACCCGAAGGTATTATATTCTTATTTTTTAAACAATATTATAAAAGTTTACATCCAAAAGAGTAGAAATCGTGGCATCGATTCTATATTTGTACAATCTAAAATTAGTATATCTCAAGTTGAAGATTGGACTTGTTTGTGCCGATAAGCCATACAAACCCATCTTATGGACCACCATGTGGAGGGTAAGTCATTCACAATAGTGGTACAAGATTATGATTTTATTATGGAATGAAAATTAAGTTTTGTTGGAACGACGTCCAAGCAAAAGAATTGCTTAGTCTATTATAAAATAAGAATACATTGTTACTTCATGAGTTGTAATCAAATATAATTGGATAAAAGAATTTATTGAAAAACTATGATGAGTCCTACCATTCTAGGATCACATAAAAATCTTTTGTGAGTTCAAGATTATATATTTAATCTAGTTAAGCGACTCTATGTCATATCAGAACACAAATCATATTTTCCAAGATATTTACTATACTTAGAGTAAGTCAAATATGGAGATGGTAGTATTCGTAAAATTCACATAAATTAAATTTAGTCGGGCTCATTAATAAAGTCATCATTTTAAGCTAAGAATGATTGATCACACTTCAACTATAAAAAATTATTATTCTAGAAATGTGATTTGATTTGGATTTAGTATTTTGATATTGGAACATTAAGACAACAATTATTATATTGTTTTGATATATTGGATATTGTTTTGATATATTGGGATATAATCATCACATCAATACTTGTTGCATTTTGTATTAACATGTTTAATCCATGGATAATCTTATTATTCTAAAAGTTCATAGTTTGTTATAACTGTGGGATCAATTATTATGTAAGACTAATATGAATTTGATTGGTTGACTCTTACAAGATGAAAGTAGGCAAGTGGTTGTAACCAAGATTCATAGGTATTTATCAGAGAACTGGTATTGACCTGATCTGCATCAAGATCACCTCATGGATCGATGTCGTGAGTGATACTTGATAATAGGTATTATCTTTGTATCCTTAATAGATGAGATGCATAACGAGACTTAAGTATAGGGAATGCTATATTTTGATGTGTTCAAATGTTGATCCTTAATCGGGTGGTTATAATGATTATTTTCAGGTGTAATGTAAACTATGCAAAAGGCTTATGTAATCAAGATGAGATTTGTTCCTCTTATGTGTTCAGAGTTACACATCTAAGGCATTTTACCAAAAGTTGAACACCTAATGAGGTTGATTGTGATATGTATCTCATGTTTAACATGATCTCTATGACAAATGGATAACTTATAACTTACCTTATACATGAATTGTAGCTTTGAGCTTATGAGGAATTGGATGTTGACAGAATGGCACAAAGTCATATATTACCAGGGGTAATGAAATGTTGTTAGACGTTCACCGCTATCTATATCAATCTATAATGAGTCTTGTGCAAGTGGGAGACTAAGAGATATATATGCCCAAGAGTCATTAGAAAATGATATTGCTAGATAATATGTGATCCTAAAGGGTCACACTAACAATAACTTGATAAAATTTATTATTTATTAGAAATTGATTTTAATAAATATTCGATAAACTCTTATAATTAATTGGAAGTTACTTATTTCATTGAAATATTAATTTTTAATGGAAAGTAACATAATATATCATATAGTATGATTTATTAATTTATGTACATTATTTTAGATAAGAAAAACTTTTGTCCTTTAGCCAATAGCCAAAGTTTATAATATATAAAAGAGTTTATAAAATTTATAAAGTCGACTTCCTTTCTTTTTGTTGAAACCGTAGGCATGTATTCCTTGTGCATGTCATGGCCTTTTTACAGGAAAAGAATTCATGACTTAAGGGGCATGGGAGACAAGTAGAGTATAGGGACATGATGTTCTTAAAGTGTTAAGGACTTATTGTTGGATTAGGTGTCTAAGCCCATAACTATAATTGGTATGTACTTGACCCGATAGTAGCATGGTCCTTTTGGGTTGCCTTCACCAAAGCAACTTGACTGTATGAATTATGGAGAAAGAGGTTAATTATGATTTATTAATATATTATGTGAATAATATATTAAAAGAGAAATCATATTATTTAATTGATATTGGTCAAGAATTAATTTAGAATTAATTTTGTGGTCAAAAGAGATTAATTAAATTTAGGGGACTGATATTGTAATTATAAGATAGTTGCAAAATGGGTTGAGGATCTCTTAGATAAGAGATGGACGAAATCTTATGGAAGCCCATAAGGATTTCGTCCAAGGATAAGGTTCTGGAAGGATCCTATGGGCTGCTTAGGGCTGAAGCAACCAAATTAGGTATTTGACTGAAACCCTAATTATCAGTTATATAAGGAACCCCTTGGGCACCTAAAATCGACTACCAGAAACCCTAGAAGGATCTTAGAGCCGATTTTGAGCCTCCTCTCTCTCTCTCTCTCTCTCTCATATTCTCCAACTTGCTTCTTGGTGTTTGTGATCGATTAGAGGTATTACACTTGTGATACTAAAGTTCTCAAAGGTTAAAGATCAAGCTATAATTGAAAGGTAACATCCTAACTTTGTTTTAGCTATGATTTTCGATTTTGTATGCTAGACATAGGGTTTATAAGCTTTGGATGATTATTGCATGTACAATTAGAAAAACTAGATCCAAAGCTTTAGGGTTTGCATGTGCACCATAGGATTGTTGTTATGCTCAAAACCCATAACCTATGATCCAATAATGAGCTTTATGAAGAGGCTTTCATCTTTCTTTTATTCTTTCACTGGAACCATATCTAGTTCTCCCTCTCTCACTTTTCTCTCTTGAAAAGAATAGTTCCAAGTTCCATGCATGCATTTTATCTTTTTAAGTTCATATTTTGGTTATGAACTTAAAGCTTAAGATCTTAAGAGTTTTGGACTAACATTTACATCAAGTTGGTTTCTTGTTGGTGTCCACAAAGGAAGAGTTCTACTCACATTCTACATCAACATTCAAGCCTCCCTTTGAGGATTCAAAGGCTACAAAGGTTGTTATCTTCTTTCTTCCTTATTGATTGATGTTTTTCTTTCCAAATTTTCCAAGAAGATACATGGACCATTTTTGTTGTTATTTTATGTGGATTTTTAAAGGTGGTTTGTAATATTCTGTTATTCATAAAGTATGTAATAGTAAGTAGCTAGTTTTTCATGTTTGTTATTTTATGTAATAGATTAGTTTTAGACTAGGTTATTTTATATAAAATGTAACAATATGAAGAATATGGCCATTTTTGAAGACCTTAGAGGTGCCCATGATTTTATGAAGGTTTTCTAAATGATTTGTAACTTTTATAAAATCTTGTAAAAGTTGCTACGATGTTGGTTGTTATTACAATTGGGAGCTTAGAGTCAACATGAAGATTATTTGGTTCATTTGTCCATTTAGGAAAGGACCTGACACTATTTTGTTGGCTTACAAAAATGTCAACTAGATCATGGCTTGTTAATGTCTTAATGCATGCTTGTGTTGTTCATTTATATGTAAATTGTTTGTATGGTTGATAAATTATCTTTTCTCAAACTCAAACTATTGTTTGGAAAAAATAAAAATCACATGTAGTTTGGTTTTAAAAATTTACAATATGAATATAATATGTAACAAGTTATAATTTTAAAATAAAAATCGGTTTTAAAAAAACGTTAATAACGGCAAATTTTGAAATACTAAATTTAAGTCTAAAATGGTGAATTTTTTGGAACTTATACAAACTCCAATATCCTTCTTAATAAATAAAGATCTTTTTGCCACATGTCACATTCTCATTTATTTTGTCACATGTAATTTTGTGGTTATTTTAAATTTATTATTATTCCATATGTCATTTTATGGTTTTTCTATTTTATTAAATTTTATATATTATTTAAATATAATAATAAATGCATATCAATTTCATTAATAGTCTTTCCTTCTAATTTAAAATTACTAAATTAAAGTTTTATTAATTTCCTCTATTTATTTATCTAAATAATTTGTTTAAATTTAAAAGAGAAAAAAATAAACACTTTAATTTTTATAATTCAATATTTTTCTCACTTTTCTTATAAATTTAAACTTCTCAAATATTTTGAATTTTATATTTAAAATTTCTTTTAAATAAACTCATGTAATACATGGGTCTCACACCTAGTCTAAATAATAAAATGAAGTTTTATTAAAGGTATAAAGGTTCTAAAGCGCTAAGAGTCAAACTTAATACCGGATATTAAATTTAAAATTGAATTGCATCAAATTATATAAAAACTAGAGATTTATATGGAACTTCTAAAAGTGATTTTTTTGAAAATTAAAACCATGGCTTATTATATGCATGTAATAACCATGATATCATATTTTTAAAACAAGAATTATAAAACATCAAGGACCCTTTATAAACCTCAAATCTATGCAATCCATTTTGAAAGCACTCGTGCATCTCATGATACACTAGTGGGATAAAAGGTCACTTAATCGCTTAATGTTATCTTTTGATGGTCGGGATGTGTTCACGACTTCTATAACCAAGTTATAGGTCGATTACACAAG